CCTGCCAAAGGGGACTCACCGTTCACGGGCTTCTGGTGCATGGAGTCCACGAAGTGCCGGGGGTTCTCGATGGTGTACTTGAGGTCTCGGAGCGTGTGTGAGCCTGTCCCTTCGCTCCACATCCCCTTCTTGGCAGTCTTGGCCTGCTCCTCCAGCTCAGCCAGCCTGCTCTGCTCAGGACTAGGAGGAGGAGGAGGAGGAGGAAGAGAGTCCTCCGTGAGGGAGACCCCACCCAGTCTGGCCCGGGCAGCCCCCGCCCCCTCTCCCTCCTCTCCACAAACTAGCGACGACATTCCCAAGGAGCCTCCCTGGAGTCAGCTACGGGTGGCACTGGCCGGGCGGCCCTCCCTTCCTATCCGCAGCAACTACGCTGAAGTCCCTGGATTCCCCCCCCCCTACCTCTGCTGCTGCTCCTGCCCCAGGGGCTTTGGGGCCTGGAGTCCCAAGGGGAGGGAGGTGCTGTGGAACTAGGCCTGGGGTTCCACCTTGTCTTCCACACACAAAGACACACATGTTGCGCCCTGGAAGCTAGGAAGGGCCCTCGTGACTGAAGGGCTGTGCAGACTTTGTGCCCAGATCAGACACATCGGACGGGACCCTGGAGCCAGTCTGGAGCCTCCTGGGGGCCCCTGACTGGATTTGCACCGGGGAAGCTCAGAGGCTCACCAGCCGCCTCCTTGGGGTGGAGACCTTCCCCACCAGAAGCCCCATTCCCTTCCAGCCACTGGGAAGACCCTCCCTGGATTGTGGCTCTCCTCCTCCAAAGCAGTGGCTGCTCCCGCCTCCCCCAGCACCCCCAGCACCCCTGCAAGACTCCCTCAACTGGGGGGGGGGGGCAGAAGCAGCAAGCCAGCCGTTGTGCCACAGACTCCTGTGCATGTGCAGAGGTCTGTCATTCCCTTGTACAAGCACAGCTGCCTCCTGGCCTTCCAGGCTCTGGGTTCCTCTGAGCCTTTTGGAGACCGGGAGCCCAACGGGGGGGGGGGGGGGGGGGCAGCACTGTCCATTTGTCCAGAGCTCTGATTCGCCCGGCACCCAGCCTGACGGGAGGCCCCTTCTCTTAGGGGAGCCTGTGTGGGGAGCCGCCCTAGAGGCCTCCCTCTGGAGCGGCAGGGACACCCCCACCCAGGGCCGGATCCTTCCTTTACTGGGCAGCAAAGGAGCCAGGCCCTGCCCCACAGCCCCGGAGGCCTTGGGCAGGCTACTCACTTATTGGCGCGGACCCCTTCCCGGCGACAGGCCAGCCCCTCGGCCACCAGGGACTCCGCAATGTTCTCCCCGGACGTGTCTGCAATCGAGAGAGCGGCCGTAAGGAAACGGGAGGGGAGCAGGGAGGCAAGCCACGCCAGAGGACTCCCACAGAGCAGGCCAACCGCACCCCCATCCGCTTGAGGAGAGGCTGGCCGAGGGCCCCCAGCTGCCCCCCTTCTTCTTCTTCTTCTTAGCAGGGCCAGGGGAGGGGCGGGCCAAGCGATCCCTGGGCAGAGCAGCCCCTTCCCGCCCAGATCAGATGCTGGGGGTCTCCGGCTGCCCTGGGGTTTACCCACAGGGAGGGGCTGCTTTAGGTGGCTTTCCCCTGTGCCGGCTGCAAGAGCCTCCAGCCCCTGGTTCAGCCCAAGGCAGGGATGCCATCAGACCGGGACGGCCCCCGACTGGAGGATGACCTCACCCAATGAATGGTTTCCTAGGGGTCAAGCGGGAGAGACGCCCCCCCCCCCATGCTGACCACAGACTCAAGAACTGCTGCTCCAGGATTAGTGGCTAGAGCTGCCCAGTCTCCAGGAGCCCCAGCAAACAGGCAACCCCCACCCAAAAAACCCTGGCAAGCAGTCCAATCCATGGGGCTGAAAGCCCAAGCAGAGGAGGCCTCTCACCTTTGCCCAGGTAGACCATGCCGTACTCCCGCCGGGGAGAGGTCTTGTACTCCACGGAAAAGCAAACGTCTTTGCCAATCAGCTTCTTCCTCAAAAACTCACGAGCTGGGAACGCCCACGGCTGGGAAAGTAAGGGGTTAGCCAGGGTGGAAAAGACGACCCTCCCAGTGCCCCCACCCCCCAGTGGGCGATCTCCCAGGCCCAGACCCCCCTCCTCAGGAAGCCCCCCTCAGCCCCAACACCGGAGCACAAGAGCAGGCGAGGCTGGCCGGGTGAGGGTGGCAAGGTTCACCCTCTCGGAGACCTGTCCCCTTCACAGGGCCTGGGTCCCTCGCCCAGTGTGAAGTGGGAGGGGGCTCCACACCCAACCTAGGCTTCTGTTTGTGAGGGGACTATGGGGAGAAGCCCAAGTGCCTGTCATCAGGGGGGGGCACATTCCCAGCACCCACGGGGTTCTTCTGGGCACTCGCTGGCCCATCACATAAGTTTCTGGATTCCCCCTCCGGGGCTTCTGCTCAGCCCAGGGAACCGAGAAGACCCCGCTCTTTCCCTAACAAGACTGACTTTCTACCCTTCTCAGGACCAGCTTGCCCAAATCATCCCTGCTACAAAAACCCGTCAGTGGATCCACCCTCTGGCCCGTTTTAACCTCAACCCCGGTTCCAGGTGTTTCTGAAGGGAAAACCCATCCAGCAGCAGAGAATAAACCTCTCTGGCACCTGAGCAAAAGGAGCCCAAGACACAGGGGCCACCCGGCCGGACGGCCTGAGTGGCTGTGGTGGTGGCAGCCACAGGGCCAGCAGCCCCTGAACGGCACCCACCCGGGGGAGGACCTGGCATGCTTTCTGAGCCCCTCAGTCCCATGTGGGGAGAAATGTCCTGTGGCCGTGGCTGATGGCGACCCACACTGGAAGCTACCAAGGACTGGGGTGGGTGTGGGGGGACACAGAAACATAGGTGCTGGCATCCGAAGTCCAGGGGTGGGGACCCTACCTCGTCAGGGGTGTCCTTGCCATCCGGCTGCCCAGCAGCTGCTCGGCGTGCCAGAGTCCCGGCACGGATGTTGCTGAGATTGATCTGTCTCTCAGGAGGCGGGCCTCCCCGGGGCTGTCCCCGGACGATGATGGCGCAGCCCGAAAGGACCTGGCGAGGAAAGGAGGCGGGTGGGCATTAGGAGGGGCAGCCAAGACCCACCACCGCACAGGCCCCACTCACACAGGAAGCTCCCCGGGAGATCTCCTCCTTTCAGAAACGGCTGCTCCGGGTCAGAGCCTTCCACCTTCAGGCGGAGCCCTTTGGCACAACCTCCCTTCTGCCCTGGGTTCGAGGCCACCTGCCCCCCCACCCCCAACACCTTGCAAGAGCGCCCGTCGGCCACCACCGCTGCTACTTGCCACTCTGCCAATCCTGGCACCAGCCGCCCCCTGCCCACCCCAGCCGAAGCCTCGGGAAAGGGCACCGGAGGGCAGCCTGAAGGCCTTTGGGCCAGCCCCGCCCACTGACCAGCCCACCTGGCTGAAACCTGCCCCGGAGACCCCGGAGCAGCCAGCCGGCGGCCCCTGCTCCAGCACAGACGCTCCGTGGGGAAACAGTCCCTGGGCGGGGAAGGGGCTCCGGGGGGCGCAGTGCGAGTTCTCCGTCCCCCCCAGATACACTCACGACCCCTGCCTGCCGTGCAGCCTTTGCCAGGGGCAGCCCCCTCCTTCTCCCTGGCCAGCGGCGGCCACGTCCCCCGGCAGCCCCGAGGGCGAAGCGCCCGAGAGCTCCCCCGCTGCTTTCCCCGCCGGCGCTCTGCACGCGCTCAGGAGCCGCCTTTACCATCTTGACGATGCCGCGCTGGAGGGCGGGCGCCTGGGCGGAGCCGGCTGCCGTGGAGGCGGCGGCGGGTCCGGCGGAGGAAGCCATGGCGCCGGGGGTCGCGCTGGAGGTCTCCGCGGGAGGCGAGGCGGCAGCGGCGGCGTCCGAAGAGCGGAGGGAGGAAGGGGGCGGAGCGGCGGCTGGGTATTTAGCCTGGCCCGCCCCCCGGCGCACGCGCAGCACACCCAGTGAGCCCGCCCCCTCTCGCCGGAAAGCCAATCGGCCGGCGCGATCCGGCGCCCCACCCCACGGGAGCCCGGCCAACCAATCGCCACGCCGCGAGGCGGCCAGCGAGGGAACGGAGCGTGTTCAAACAGAAGCGTCGCGGCGGGGGAGGCAGGACTTCCGGGTCACCCTGCCAGAAGGACACGTAGGCACAGAGCAGCACGTGGGAGACGGGCCACGTGGGAGGCGCGCCTGCGCCAAAGTCGGCCGGAGGGAGAGGAGGGTCCTGGCGCTGCACGTGGCTAGCGGGGGTGGGGAGGGGGGGGGTTGGCTCGCTTCCCCTTCACGGCGGAGGCTGCCCTGGGGGAGCGGCGAGGAAGGGCGGGGAGCCGCCCCCACCCGCTTCCCGAAGGCCCCTCCCTGGAGACTCCGCCCCTCCCTCCCATTTCGCTGGCTGTGCCTCCCCCTCCTCCCCCCGCAGCTGCTGCTGCTGCGCGACTGCGAGCGACCCTCGGGGGGGGGGGGGGGGGCCTTCCGTGCTGGATCCCCCTGCAGTCGCGGTGCGGGGAGGGGGTCGCACTGCTTCTATGGTTGCGGGTCGGGGGCCCGTTGGCTTTCCTGCTCTTCGTGAGCCGCCCAGAGTCTCCGCGAGTGGAGTCGAAATGCCAGTTTCCCAAAGGAAGAAACGCTCCCGATGGCGCCGGTGGCAGCTGCCGACGCACCTTCAGCAGCGCTTGCCGGCTCTCCCCGTGTGGCTGGCGTGGCTGTTCCCCCTGCGGCGCCCCGAGGAGGAAAGAGATCGCTATGGGGGCGAGGCGAGGAGGGTCTTCGGGGCTCCACATCGCGCCTGGACTCGACGCATCGCAACCCTCCCCGCCGCCTGTTTCCGAAGGCGGCTCGAGGGTTCTCCTTCCATCCACCTGGAAAGCCCTGAACGGCACAACTCCAGGCTACCCGCTGGCGGTTGGGGGCGCCATCCTCCCGCGGGTGATGCCGTCGGCCAAAGAAGTCCGAGTGTGCGGGATGCAGAAGAAGCGCCTCCCCTGGGAACATCCTCTCCTGGAAGTGGGGGGGGGGTGTCTGCTCTGCCAGTTGGCCTAGGGACCGAGTTTGGAGGGGAGGGGATTTCCACCCTGGAGGAGTCTCCCCCTCTCTCGCTCTCTGTGCGCCACCCACCCATCTTTTAGTCGTATTGATATTTGCTTTCTATCTCATTCTTTAATCTATTACTTTACTACTGTTTTTGTCTTTTAATTGATTCCTTTTTATTGTAAGCCATATATAGTAGCCCCACGGGGACCTAGGCACAAATAAACATAACAAATAAATGAACCTCTTGGCTGAAGAGGCTTCTCTTGTATGCTGAGTTCAAAGGCTCTTCCCCAGTTCTTAAGCCAATGCAAATTAGCAATAGCAGTTAGACTTATATACCGCTTCATGGGGCTTTCAGCCCTCTCTAGGCGGTTTACAGAGTCAGCATATCGCCCCCAACAACAATCCAGGTCCTCATTTTACCCAGGATGGAAGGCTGAGTCAACCCTGAGCTGGTGAGATTTGAACTGCAGAACTGCAGTCAGCTGAAGTAGCCTGCAGTGCTGCATTTAACCACTGCACCACCTCGGCTCTATTAGGACCAGTATTGCTTCAAGAGGCAGCCCCCCAATGCAGTCTAGGACCGGCCTGGTGGTCTTGTTCCCAACAGTAAATCTCTGTAGCCCAAATTGACATGTGGAATCCTGGGTGCTCTCTTCAAGCCATTTTCTTACCCAACTAGGTAACATCATCAGTGTTCTGCAAGCCACTAGCATAGAGGACACCACAGGAGTCCTGCCCCTCCTTTCAAATGCCACCAGCCTGCAGAAACGTGTGGGGGGGGGACTGGGACATGGAGTGGGTAGAGCCTAGGCTTTTCACAGGAGCCTGATACTGGCTCACTAGCTCCTTTGGGGCGAGACTGGCACCATTCGCTCATCTGGGGATCATATCTGGGAGAGAACTGGCTGGAATTTCCGGCATCAGCCCCAGAAAGCTTTCGGGGAGCCCCTTTCCTGCCCCCCCCACTCCCAAAGGCTGATTCCTAGTCTAAGGCAGTCTCCTAAACGCTCCAGTGGCTGGGGAGGCAAAGGCTGCTGACCAGGGAGGCCAGGCTGTGCCCCAGGGAGTAGGAGGTCTGCTGCTGTGGCCTTCTTTCGTGGTCTCTCGCAGGCGCAGGAAGAGCAACGGTTGGGATGTCCTCTCCGTCCATCGGGCTCCCCGCTGCCCGCACTCCCTGCTGCGGCCACGGAAGCCACTTGGGGAGCCCGCGCGCTCCTTCAACTTTCTTCCTTCGTGCCGAGCACCTCTGAGGAACAATCCCGAGTGACTCCTCCAAACGAGCCTGCTGCCTTCGGGGTCGGAGAGGGGGGCGCTGGCCGAGAGCATCGGGGGGGAGCCGAAGGACTGCAGCACAGAGCGCAGGAGGCTTTGCCCGGACTCGCCTCCTTCCTTGGAGTCCAACCACCTCCGTGGCTGCTGGGCTGTGGGATGAAGACCGGCGTCCACCGCAAGGTACCGGGCTGGAGTCCGGTGACGCCAAATGGAAAAGCGGCTGGTCCTAGGAATCGCGCCCCAGGCTGGGAAACGTGAGCCGCAGATGGGACAGGATTCTCTGGCTTCTTGTCCAGTTCAGCGGGTCCCATCGGGGCCAGGGGAGGCCGGTCGGGGAAGCTGGAGGACAGGCTGGAGCGGATTGAAAGGGGGCCGGCTTAGAAATCCCCACCTCCAAAACTGTGGCTCCCAAGAGAACTGGTGGTGGTGGTGGTGGTGGTGGTGGGGAACAGCTGTGGAGCTGAAAAGGAGGCGCAAGGCGATCCCGGCCCAACAGAAAGGAGTGTTTATATAGGCAGCGCAAGTGGGTCTAGCAGGATATCCCCCCCCCCCAGCCAGTTTTGACAGTGTGGAAAGAGGAAGGCTGAGGGTTGTCTCGGTACACTCTTGTTTCCCCTCTCCTGGGTCCAGGGCAACGGCAGCTGGCACGACAGGGCCAGAGGAAGGAAGGGGAGCTGTCCCCGCAGCTCCACTGAGACAATTGGGAATTCTTCCATTCTGGCTTTCGGGGGGCCAAGGGGCAGCGCTCAGGTGAGACTCTGCCCAGAACTGGGGGCAGCCATTCCCCCCTCCCCAGCACAGATCAACCAGAGCGTAGCTGCACCGATCCTCTTCCGTTCTTCCTTGCGCAGCTTCAGGGCTTTATAATACAGCGCGAACCACCCCCACTCCCCCACCTGGCGCCCAAAGAGCTTCCGAGGAGGCTAGACGGGAGGAAGGCTCAGTTGTGCTGCAATGGTATCCTCCGGGCAAGTTTCTCCTCTCCCATCGGCCAGGAAGTGCCCCCAAGGAGGGCAAGCGAGCCACCCGTCGCTTCACTTGGGTACCGGCTGCTGACGCTGGAGGGGGAGGCTCGTCTGACGAGCAAGGAAGAGCAACAGCATCTGGACCAGATTTGCAGACTAAGGAAAAGTTTTCCCGCTAGGAAGATCTGTCCGACGACGCAGCTTCTCTCTGGGGAGGCGATGGGTCCTCTGTCCCGGGAGGCTTTTAAGGAGGGCTAGGCAATCCCTCCCTGGGGTGGTGTGATTTTCCCGCATACTGCATTACCTTTTGCGGTGATTTCAAGTGTGCCACTGAATGAAAGTAAGAGATCAGGGGTTCCTTCTGATTCGGTGTCCCCTGGAAGCCCAAAAGCAGGGACTCCTGTCGTTCACGTTACCCAGTCAATGGGAAGTCTCCACAGAGAGTGAATCACTTGGAGGGTAGCTTCCTCCCACCCACCCCCCCGCCCCCAGCTTACTGGCCTTTCCTACCTCTTGTGGTGGCAAAGTGTGGGTCTCCACCAGGGTGAAAGAACCGCCTTCCCAGTATCTGCCCTTGATCTCCCCATGGGAATCCCCCCACTCCCCAACAGCACAGGCTCCGTTTCCTCAGGAAGACCCCAAAATGCAGAATTGCAGCTGTATGCACTGTGCCAAACAGAAGGGAAGGGTCTCTTCTTTCCTCAATCAGAGCGTATCCCTTGGGTCTCCGCTTGCCCTGCTCGCCCCCTTCCCAAGAGCCTGGATTCAGTCCTCCGCCTCTTGCTGTTCTTAGCCCGCCCGCCCTCCCTCCCTCCCTCCCTCCCTCCTTCCTTCCTTCCTTCCTTCTTTCCTTTCTTTTGGCTCCCGGACTCCCCCTCACTTCTCTGCCGGTTTCCCGTGCT